TCCATCAGCGGATCGCGTCGGGTGCTGAGCCAAACGATAACAGCGCACGCGTTCTTGCTTGCGTTGGAGTAGGCAGCGTCAGCATGGACTCTGTGATGCGGTATGCTGGAGATTCTTCTAGAGGAGGACGAGCCGTTTGACGAAACTGCTCCGGCTTATGCGGATCTATCTCGGAGAAGGAGAGGGAGGGTGACGTGAGTACGTGCGTCTCGTACTTGTACCCGAGAGCGTTCGACTTTGTTCGTGAACTTGGCTGGGAGTTTGTTCAGCCGAGAAAAGGGAACATTGTAGTGATGCTCTTAGGATCAATCATTTGGTTATAAGAATGCAATGTCAGTCTACCTCCTCATGTGGTGGTGGTTGTCGCATACCGGCGCTACGGCTATGTCAATGACATATCAACGGTGTCAATTGCGCGATGGAAGGTTCATAGACCAATCACGTATCATAGTTTTCAGGGCGAACGGGAGAACGCATCTGCAAAGTGCAAATTGTTTTATATTGATTGAGGCGCTTTTGCGGGTACACTATCGGTGCAAGCCGAAGGGCCGCTATTTTATCCATTATCATTAGAGACATTCAATGTCTGAACAGAAAAAGACAAGCAAAGAACCCGAGAAACTCCCCCAAAATGCAATTTTTTGTTGATTTTGTTGTTGTGCTGTTCAACGGCTAGCTGGTGGAGACCGTAGTTGACTGGGTGCTCGTAACAGTGCGGCCGGCAAGACTTAGGCGTCCTCGGCGGACTTGGGAGGGGCATTGGCCTTTTTGTTCTTGTAGAAGAGGGCTGGGAGAAGGGTGGAAGAGGTGGTGAAGAGAATGCTGTGTATTATTAGCGCTTTCCTGATGAATGCGGTGACCGAAAGACCTACCAAAGCGCAATCCCAAGACCCCAGACGGCCTTCGCCTGGAAGCAGTTGCTCCTCGTCACGCCAGCCCAGTGGCTCAGGCTCAGCAAGTCGCCCATGGTGTTGAGGTTGTTCTTGACCGAGTTGGTGAAAGCGAAAGAGTAAGCGGCATCGACTTCCGCAGACGCCTTGCCAATGACATAACAGTTGAGGTAAGAGATGGGCTTGCCCACTGTGACGGCGACGACGATGAAGGCAATTAGAAGGAGAGAGTCGACACCGGCCATGACGAGGAGACCGAGATTAGCGCCAGCCCAGTAAAAGGCGATGCTGACGATGATGTAAAGAGTGGCAATGCACGTCTATTGTGTTGTTAGTTTTGTGTACTGATTAGAATCGAGGTACTATACATACCACACTGATGGTGCCGACGAACTCCTTTGGAGGCTCGATACCCGTGCTGACAATGTTGCCGATGAAGTTGGCAGTGATCCCGATGATGATGATCATGGAAATAACCTGCATGATCCTCACCAGCAGGAAGAGCTTGCTGATAGGACCAGCACCGTAGCTTGGGATAGGCATGTTGGCTGAAGTTGCTTGAAAGACGGAAAGCGTTGGAAAAGACGGTCGTTCAGTTGGGAGGTCGTTGGAAGTCGGACGAGAAGAAGTGCTTTTATGCTGCAATGAACGGAGCGCAATCTGCCAGCAGATGAAGAGAGTGCGTTGACAGACAACTTTTTCGAAAGAATGAGATCCGACAAAGGAGACAAGGAATAATGGAAAGAAGAAAGAGGAAAGAAATGTGAAGTGGTGGTGAGTTGGATGCTGAAGTGGATGATGATGACTGAACAGCTAGCACCAGCGCATCTTATATACCTAGAACCTGCCTTCTGCCTACAACACGAGCATCTTCGGTGAAATTCGAATGGCTGAAGCTTCTGCTATTCCTGTCAGTCGCCCGTCTGGACGGGATGCGTTTCATGGCAGCTTGCTTGAGTAGTCGCTGCGTCTGCCAATCAGCATCGAGAGCGCGCTGCCTCATAAAATGTCGGAAATAGGCGAGCTGTGGCACAGACGCACCCCAGCGGCTACAGCATAGAAAGCGCCGTGTCAAATAAAAACTACAGTTCACCAAAAAGCCACTAGGTTACAGTAGACGTCAACCGGCCTGAAAGATCTAAAGCCCCAGTTTGCGATGGAGATTGAGTGGATGGGAGACAACGTAGCGGCTTTCGGTTTGCTTCCGCGGTCCCACTTCAGCTTTTCGACCACCATCGCGCGCGGGAGCCATGGTTAGATCTGTTGAGGTACAATCAGAGGCGCTGGCAGAGATCTAGACTGCCTGAACAGCCGCCGGGAATGGGTTGCTGGAGAGACGTAGTGGACATGACAGTGCGGTTGCAGGACAGATGTCTATGCTCACGCGTTGAGCTGGTCGTTTCTCGCGCGCATTGGTGTGGTGTTTCGTGCCGGAAGCTTTGGGTTTGTGGGCGTGGACGGTCCAGTGCGATATTGAGGCGTGATGTTGTTGTGCTGTCTGGTGCTCTATTGGTTGTATCACGTGTCCTTGGCGGGCGCTACCAGTCAGCTTTGACGTCGTCACCAAGTCCTATTACCTCCAACTCCAAGTCCTTCATTGTCGTCTGGAGGATGGTCATGGAGCGACGGTGTGAAGTGGCTTGATGCGGGTGCGGAATGGCATCGTGGCCCGTAAGGGCAGGTCTTTCCGAAACCCTCACCTCGGCTTTTCGCGGAGATATGCGCTTCAAGCTCACACAGATACCGCCAGCATGACCACCACTCTTGTAGGGCGAGTGGACACGCCCGTCTTTCGGGCACTTCTCTTCTACACGTCCTACACTGACTCTCCCCATAATTGCCTATAGCTACTATGGGTCTCTCAAGCTATCTCCAACACAGGCGCGACTGGTAAGCAGCTCTCCAGCATCCCACACCCAACCCCCACTCATCCCATCCCACCCCAGCCAACGCAAGCAATCCGAACGTGCCTCCAAGATCGCAACCCTCCCAGCGCCCTACCTCACCCCTCTGTCCCCTCAAGAACGCACAATCCTTGGTAAATCCATCCAAGAGCTCGTCCAAGATGTCCACAAGCAAGTCACCAACCCCGTCGATATCCTACGCGCATACGGTAAAGTCACGATAAAGGCACACGAGAAGACAAATTGCGCGACAGAGATTTTGTTTCCCGAAGCAGAGGAGTGGGCCAAGAATGAGATTGATCTGAAAGGCCCACTGGCGGGCATACCGGTCAGCTTGAAGGACTCGATTCAGGTCAAAGGATTTGATATCTCTGTGGGATTTTCCGCGAACACAGGGAAACCATATGCGGAGGATGGATCATTAGTGAGGTTGTTGAAGGAAGCTGGTACGCTATCTGAATAAAGATCTGGCCCGTGCAATGACTGATTGTGCTAGGTGCCATACCTTTCGTGAAGACGAACCTGCCTACGACGCTCCTCTCCTTCGAATCGACAAACGATGTATGGGGCCGCTGCACCAACCCGCACAACCCCTCATACTCTCCGGGAGGTTCAACCGGGGGCGAGTCAGCTCTGTTAGCATTCGGTGGCAGTCGCATCGGCATTGGATCAGATGTTGCAGGCTCAGTGAGAGTTCCCGCACACTTCTCCGGCTGCTACTCAATACGATGCTCAACCGGACGATGGCCGAAGATGGGCATGAACACCAGTATGCCGGGCCAGGAAGCAATTCCCAGCGTCTTCAGCCCAATGGCACGCACCTTAAACGATCTCACTTATTTCACCCGCAGCTTCATCCAGATGAAGCCTTGGAAGTACGACTACACTGTCCATCCGCTGGAGTGGAGGGAAGGTGTGGAGAAAGAGTACAAGGAGAAGAAGACGTTGAGGGTAGGCGTGCTTCGGACCGATAGTGTCGTGGATCCGTCTCCGGCTTGCGCTCGCGCCCTCGACAACGTAGCAAAAGCTCTTTCAGCCGAAGGCCACGAAGTCTATGATGTCAACCCACCTTTTCCTTATGAGGCTCTCTACCTAGCATCGCAACTCCTTCTCAGCGATGGAGGCGCCACCTTCATGTCCTTCTTCCGCACCGGCGAATGGAACGATCCCGGCGCCGCCCAAATGGTCTTCTTCATGAACCTTCCCCGGCCTATCAAATACATCTACTATCTCTGGCTAAAGTACGTCAAGCGTGATGACATCTGGGCTGGCTTGCTGCGAGACTGGCACCCGAAGAGTGCACGCGAGTACTGGCAGCTGGCTGGTAAGCGTGAGGCATACAAGAACAAGTTCTTCAACTGGTGGAACGACGAGGCGAAGATGGATGTTATGATTACACCGCCGAACGCTACGCCTGCAGTGCCTCATGATGGGATGCATGATGCAGTGAGCAGTTGTGGATATACCTTTTTGTTCAACCTAGCAAGTCTCTCCCCGTGAATTCCAAGCACCAGAACTAACAAAATGTAGCTCGACTACTCCTCGGGTATCATCCCGGTCACCCACGTGGATTCAGTCAAAGACCAACTACCCGCTTCGTTCGACTTCAAAAAACTCAACGGCGTCGCGAAAGGTGCGTATAAACACTATGACGCGGAGAAGATGGCGGGTCTGCCTGTCGGTGTACAAGTCGTTGGTCGTCGGCTTGAAGAGGAGAAGGTTCTGGCCGTTATGGAAAGGATTGAGGATGCTCTGGATCGGAATGGTGGTCGCTATCAGTTGCTCGAGGTAGAGTGAGCGCGGCGAGAGGGGTAGAGGGGAAGAGGATCAGCAGATGTGAAGAACACATGGTGATTAAGATATATGATTAGAATCTCATTTAGTTACAGTATGACTCTCCAGCACCTTAGCCCAATTCTTGGGATTCGTTAGATTCTGCTTCAGCTATGCATGGAAAGTTGGGGGATGCTTTGTCAAAGTCCAAGTTTCACAAAAAAAGGGTTCCAGACTCTGTTCTCTAGCTAATATTTCCTAAGCTTTAACTATGTTGCGAGCTAACTCTATCGTTCTTAACTTCCTGCCACTAACCACCGCCCCTTAACTCTCAAGTTATTTTTACCGGGTCCCATATCTGCAACTAACTCTAGCACCTCAACGCTGCATCTCACGCTCTTTCCACCATTTGCCTATCACCTCATTTCTTCTTATTGGGATGGCTCAGTGGTAAAGTGCTGCAGCCTTGGAGAGCTTTGAAGAGAAAGCGTAGGTTCAAATCCTACTCCTATCACACAAATAACTCTACAAAATCTTAACGCTCTCTCTATTTATATATACTTAAAAATTTACTACCCCTTATCTCTCTCCTTAGCAAGGCAACTATTACTATCCGTTTGAGCTTTCCCCTACTAAGGTTTTACCCTACGAGGTACGGGCATATCTAATCTGCGACTAAAGCGCAGTGCAGAGGGAAGAGAGTTTAGAAACAGACCTAGGGGGCTAGATAGGGGGGAGTATAGCAGCTTAGCCTAAGCAGGTATTTAGGGACCTATAGGTAACTAGCGTCTTTTAAAGGAAGGAAAGCATAGGCAGGACAGGTTCTCTGCGGGAGAGTAGCTACAGCAAGAAATGCCTTTAAAAAAAAGTGCTTGGCACGTCTATTATGCCCCATGGGAGGCTCTATGTTGATAAAGGCCCCAGCCAAATCTATAGGACGAAAATCAATACTAACCAACCAACCAACCTCATTTCTTCCGCGTATCTGTAAATTTAGAAGCTGCAAATACATGCCCAGCATTGCCACCAGCATCTGAAGGTTAGGGAAATTATTTGGAGGGCTGTTTGGTGTTGCGGTTGTGCCGGGTCGGTTTAGTGTAACCCTTGAGCCTTTGTATAGTACACATGATCCACCCCGCTGTGTGTCGCTTGCCCTGCTCTATTTCGTTTATCTTACTCTACCTTTTTCATTTCACATCACTGCAATATTACATGACGTTTTCACTTACATTAGCACTTCTGTGCACTGCTGTACACAAGGCTTGACAGCCACATCCTGGGCCTGACTGGCCATCGACATCACTGCACTTTTTGTACGCAATTTTTCCATCTGTATCCTCGCATGGAGGGGAAATAGGGACTAAAAGGCTCTCCCTTTGGGGAGGGCGGCTACTATAAGAACTGCCCTCACACCTGTGCTCGGCAGGTCTATAATGCCCCCTAGGAGGCTTATGTAGATAGAGGCTCACGGCCACTTTACAGGACGTAAATCAATACCAGCCAACCAACCAACCAACTATAGTACACATACAAATTATGTGCGCTTCTCTAACCGTTTGAATAGGTTTCGTTCTAATATTGCGTAGAATTTCGCCTTCCATATTGAAATAGGGATAAATTCAGCCTGTTGTACAGACCTTAAGTTGATATGATGTGATAATTGTTTTCGCTGGTATTTTTGGATCGCAAAGTAATGAGTTCAATATACGTGATAGTTTTCTTCCTCGACAAGACAGTGTAACCTATATATTGTAACTTCCAAGTAGCATATCCAAATAAATCATAAACAGCGTGATTAACCCATAATTGATCCGGGTGGCAAAGAGAATGATTGTCAAGTCTCTAAACTCAAAGTCTATCTATTCTCTACATAATGAAAAGAATGACACCAACATATATATATAACTCCCAATAAAAATCATGCACCCAACACCTTCCCCCCTCCCCTACGCCACACTCTTCACCAAAGCAATCTCCTGCGCCATGCCCCCCGACAACGTAGTATCCTTCTTCTGCACCTCATGCGGCTGTTCATAAACATCATACTTCTTCAAGAACCACGCCCTCGCATCCGTACTACTCTCGTCGCTATCCACAAAGCTCGTCGAATCGCTCGCCCTCAAAAAGTACGAAATAGCCGCCCTATCAACCCCCTCAGCGGGCACCGCACGATGCAGCGCGGAACGAAACTTCTTCCCTGACAGAAACCTGAGCGAGTCCCCAACATTGATGATCGCATACCCAGCCTTCGGTTCCACCCACTCCCACTCCCCATTGTCGGGCGACATGGCCTGGAGCCCCCACTGCGGCGCGAAGAGCAGCGTCAGAAGGCCGATATCCGTGTGCATGTTCTGGCCCACGCCCTCGTGCTGCAGCGCCGCGGCCGGATAGTGCAGGAAGTACAGTGTGCTTTTGGAGGGCTCGCCTTCTCGCGCGTACTTGTGCAGGCTCTTGTCGCCGGTGAGACCGAGACCCGAGGAGAGGCGGTCGAGCAGCGTCTTGAGCACGAAGTGCGAGGCGTCGGAGAAGTCGCTGAGGGTTTGGCGGTTTGCTTTTACGATGGGGGGGAGCGCCCAGGCGCCTTTTAGTTCGTCGCGGCCTACTTTCAGCGCTTCGAAGCCGTCTTTTGAGTTTGTGGTGATGCCGGATTGGATGCCGGTGGGTTTGTAGCTATTGTTTTTATATTAGTTCGGCACGTTCATAAAAGACTATAGTGGTCTCGGGGAAAAGGAACGTACCCATGAGCGTACGAGTGCGTAATCGTCTCCATCTTGGTCGGCAGCGACTGGTTGAACCAGTCAAACATGACGGAGCGCAGATACTCGAGGTTCTTGAGCATCTCCCTGCCGCCGTCTTGGTTGAGGTCGAGGTAGAAGAAGCCGTAGTGCTCGCAGGCGGCGATCATTTTTTGCGTCTCCGCGTCGTTGTCGTCGAGGACTTTGGCGAAGTTGATGGTTTGGAGACTGGCGACTTTGTCGGTGGCGGCGATGCCGTTGATTTGTTGGATGGCCATGGTTGGTAGCGGCGTTGGGACTTGGTTGGTGGAAGTGCTGGGGATGGTGGATGAGGTGTGGAAAGAGGAGGAAGGAAACAGATGGATGAAGTGGACTTGGAAAGCTGAGTGAGGAGCAACGAGTTCAGGCTCTGAATCTTGAGGTGTAAAGCACCCATTTGATCAAGTATTTATACTCGTAACAGGTCCCCGATCTCGGGAGTGACTCAGTGAATGGCGTGGTCTCCACCGCTATGAAACTCCCTACTGGGTGAGCCAGCCCCCAAAAGACGGTGAGTGTAGTTACGAACTTTCACCTTATGTTGTACTGCTTGGCAAGCTTGCGTGATGGGTCATGGAGATGCATACGAAGGGGTTGATTCCTCATGCTTCAAAGTAGGAGGCTTACGCTTGGCCAGCTGGGTTGACCACATCTGTGCTTCGTGCAGGCAGCTCAACTGGGACTTTCGAGATTCACCATCTAGGCGTACGCAAAAGAAGTGACTCATCTTTCCCTGTCACTCATTTCATTCCATACAGTTGGTATGCGCAAGGCAACTCTCTACTAAAGAGTCAGATACTCCAAGGAGTTACACACCTTACCACAGTAGCCTCAGAACGGAGTATCTTACTCATCCGTGGCTACGGCTAAACCACTCCTAAGCCATGTGTGCTGACTATGCATCTGTCTAAAACAATGCACATGAGTTCTTTAATCTTACAGTCCCAGATACCTTTTAAGCTAAGAAATGTTGTCACCACCTGACCCACACAAATTTCCCTTCATGGCCTAGTCTGTAAGCTTTGGTATCCGAGCGTTGTACTACCTTCTACATGTACTCGAACCTGACACCGCACGCTGCTAAATAATCCGCATCAATTGGCTCCTAAATCGCAATATCGCCAAGGTATTATGCTAACATGTATTAATAAAATGATTCTAGAATTCCAAAGCTCCACTGTGATCAAAGCGTGGTGGTATACGACGCGAATTTCTGAAAGGGGGAAATGGCTCATAGTAATCTCGTTTTGCGTTTGTTGGGATGCTGATGCTGCTTACTTTGTGCGAGCGGAAAAAAAATTCAGCACGTTCTTGTATGTCTCAGCTGTTTCAATTTTAGGGTTAGCTCTGACGCATGCTGCTAGAAAAGTATGTATAAGATGAATGGCGAAGCAAACGCAACGTACTCAAACAAGAACACCGCACAGCCGTCATGCCGGCGTGCAGCTTGACCAACAACAGGAAATCTACCGCATCCATGAGGATGGATTCTCAGGACCATGGCCGCGCTGCTTGGACGGTGCTAGCCGCAGTTTCAATCACCAATATCTTCACCTACGGTTTCACGGCTACGTTTGGCGTCTTTCGAGACCATTACTACCGCATGCCCGGTCCGTTCAAAGGCAGCCAGGAGGTTATCTACGTTGGAACTATCAGTCTCGTAAGCGAGCCTGCCTCATGTTAACTTGCTCATAAGGTAGACTGCTGACTGGGTACATTTTCTAGGGCCTCATCCAGGGCCTCACACCCTTCATCATCTACATCTGTAACAAGAGACCGCAACACGCCTCCCTGATACTCTGGCTAGGCTCCATACTGATGGTCGCTTCAACAATAGGAGCCGCTTTTGCCGCCACGGTAAGTAACCACCATACCTACTACATCATCCTCACATCCCTCATGCAAGTCTCTGACACTTTTCTCCCACAGCCCCTACAGCTAGTCTTTACTCTCGGCATGGTATACGGCATCGGCGGCAGCTGCGTCTTTGCACCCTGCATTGCCTATATCGATGACTGGTTCTCGAAGAGACGGGCATTGGCCAATGGCATTTTCTTCTCCCTGAGCAGTCTCGCGCCGGCGTGCATGTCCCCCATCTTCTCGAAAACACTGGAGAGATTCGGTCCCAGGAGTACGCTTTTCGGATGGGCTATTGCGATCACTGCGCTCTCCCTCCTGAGTCTTCCTTTTGTCCGCGGCAGACGTGACGGCCACCATATCTCTTACAAGGCAGAGAGTTCAAACCCGTCCGAACACGTTCTCGAGGCTCCAGAACCCGGCGTAGACCATCTCAACGGTGAAACAATCGACGGAGGGCGTTCAAGGCCATCCCAGACGATCGCTTTCTGGAAGCAGCCACTGTTCTACCTCTTCACTTTTACGACTGGAATACAATGCCTCGGTTACTTCTTGCCTGCCTTGTATATGCCGAGCTTCGCTTCGGACCTTGGAATATCCACGACGTTGGGATCACTCCTGATCACATTTTTCCAGCTCGTTTGCGTGATTTCGCAGCCTCTTTACGGGACCATGGTGTGAGTATAACTTCCGCACACGATTCATGCGTCTTCGTCTCGATCAAGCTAACTGAGAATACAAGTGATCGCATCGGGCCCCTCATTCCCCTATTCGTCTCTACCATGCTAGCCTCCATCGCCATACTCACGCTCTGGGGCTTCGCACACTCGTATGGCATGCTCGTTGCCCTCATGATTCTCTACGGAGCATCTGCGGGCACATT